TACAGTATTTGAAATAGTTCCCATGTTCATGTTCTTGTTTTGTGTCTCTAAAATAGTCTCGGTAGTTACTATAACCTTCGAAATTATGTTCATAGCATTTGTAAAAGAAGTTGGCATGGTAATCTGTGTCATGGTAGGTGTTGGATCATTTACGCAAATGGCATAGCCACTTTGTTGATATGTGCATCCTTGACCAATTGTTGTATTCGAGCTATAAAAATTTGTCTGAGAGAGCGCTGTACCAGCAGCAGCAAGAATAAAAAATGATGTTAAAAGAGAGTATAAACGCATGATTGAAGAAAATATTAAAATGAAAACAAGAGATGAAAGATAATGGTCGAAATATAAATTTATAAAAGATAATGAATGCTTTTCCATACTTCGTAACATATACAAATATGTAGTTCTAAAACTGTGAAAATTTGTTTTTTTTTATTAAATGAGACCCTGAGCTGCTAATTTACTTTGCATACTGCAGCACTGTCTCTTGATAGATATACGTGATCGACAGAAGTAGTCATTTTTAGAGCTAACTTTTTTTTTTACGTTTCAGCATCTTAGCATTTCAGCGTTTCAGCTATTCATAATTGATGCAAATTATATTATTCTTTCGATGTAATTAACTAAATTAGGGTTTTGGATATTGCCACCTGAAATAAGGTTATTAACAAATATATATATATTTTTAATTTTAAAAGCTCTGAATAATGTAAAGTATTCCAAAACTGTTTTCTCCAAATAGCCTTGCGCAGTATGTGTTTCTGCGCATCGATACGTACTGTACTTATACGTACTTATACTACTTTAGTGCTATTATAGATGAGTTTGGATAATGAACTGACATTTAATTTTCTTGCCCACAATCAAGAATTTAACATTAGCCAAGCTACGATATTCATAAATTTCTTAATTTTATAATGATCATTAAAAGTTTAGAAAATGTACAATATTTTCTTTATGATCTCTTGATAAGCTTAAATTTTAAGACTCGTAGGAAGTTTCAATCCTCAAAATTTATTATAAGTTATATCAACGTTAATATCAAGTGTCTTGATATTGTATAACAATAAAAATTTACAATTTTGAACAATTTATCTTAAATATTTTAGCACAAGGAAAACTTAATAAATGTTGAAAGTTTGCCAAAATTTAAAAAAAAAAACTATGATATGCAAATTAAGAAGCAGGATTGCTTACTAGAAACTTATTGTCAATAGGTTCAAAATTCTATCAAAATAAATCATCGTCTATTTGATTATCGTTTAGTTGTTGAATTATTACCATTTTGGTATCTATATATTGATTATAAACACGATTAATATTAGTTTATATTAAAATGAAATGTATGCATCATTTCAATACAATACAGTATATTCCGTGATCGCATAGCTATTAAATTTCATACTTTGTAAAGTCAATGCTTCACTAATCAATGGAGTTAATGGTCGACTAGAATAAATTTCTTGATTATTTATTTTAGTTGTACGATATTTGTACTTTGATTTTCTGGAAATTTTATCTCTCCACTTTCTGCTTTAGGGACAAGTTAATTAAGCTCATTTTTCAAGGTATTTGTTCTTTTTTCTGGATCTTTATCTCAGCATCCTCCCATTAATTCAATTAATTCCTGTGGAACTTGGAACTTTTGGGCGAAGACCACTAAGAATACGTGTCTAGAATAAGATATTCACATGTTTACGATCGGAAAATGGTCTGCAGCCACTTATTACTTCCCAATCAATCATACCAAAACTATAAAATGTCTGGAGCTTGTGTAAACTTTCACCTTTTAACACCTCTGGTGCAACATACGGAATAACTCCATATATGCATTCTTATCTGACGATTCATCTACATTCTAGATCTGCAATTGCTGATTCACTCGTTTTCTAATGCCGTTATGAAGATCGCGATGAATCATTTTTATGTCTATGTACTATGTCAAGTCCATTTGCTATTTCATTTAATATTTTTAAATTTTCTAAGATAAAGTAAATCCACTTTTATTTGAAAATAGTGTAGGTCTCTATTCTGCGTAAATTCTATAACTAATATATAATTTTTTGTCTCAGGATGTTATGTGATACCTTTATAAATGTTTTGAACAACTTTTCCACTTTTTTACAATGAAAAAAAGTTTTTCAACTAAAATAACAAAACAATAATAAGGTTTTAAATTAACTGAATTAATCACATAGAAATATAATCACGTAAATGTAAATTATACCGTATACGTATATACCCATTTTTTCAGAATTGTTAAGAATTCTAAGAACAATCAACATCAACATTTTCGTATCGATTGCATCTTAGCTTCTTAGACACCGACGAATAATAGCCCATCAATCCATGTTGTTTTATAGATGCGCTAAACCCTCTTTTATCAAACTGGTAAATTGCTTATATAGAATAAATTCTAATTTTGATTTGGTTCTATAAGCGCAATAAAAAGTTTGCGTTGATTCGATAAAATCATCTATTAGTTTATTGCCACTTAAGACTCGTAATGAGGCCCTTTTTACATTGATTGGGATTTCATCATAATAACTTTTTCTTAAATTACATTCCTTGCATTTCAATATTGTTTTCTTTTTCCGCATATAGGCTCTTATACGCCTAGAGACAAATGAAGCTGGATTTTCTTTCTTTTTAACTGATTTTACATTAAATTGTTATGAAGTATTAATTTGTTCCTTACATTGTTGAGAAATTATTCCTGCATTATAATTGTTTGGCAAACTTGTACTAATCTGATCTTGAGTAAAGCGGGCAGCTCAATAATCGAATTATTATAAAGTTTTAAATTTGTATTGGTTTGACATTGAGTAAAATCCGCATTCAATTCTATAGATTAATTGTTATTATAAGGTCTTAGACCATTTTATTAGCTTATTATTATTAGTTTGATCTTGACTAAAGCCTCCAGACCATTCTGCATATAGATTATTATAGGTATTTGGCAAATTTACATTAATTCGGTCCTGTAAGTAGAGGTAGACTATTACTAGTCTGATCTTCATGACATCGAGTGAAGCCAGTAGGACCATTCTACGGGTGGATTATTATAAATGTTTGGTAAATTTATATTAGTTCGATCTTACAGTTCATTCCATACATAGATAATTACCGGTTACTAATGTTTGGATCTTTTTTTCATTATAAATTATACAACTAAATAAAATGCGTTATCAGCAAAATTAATTTATGATTTTTGATTACGACAAAAGGCTTTTCGGATTCAGCCAATATAATAATCTGTATTTCAATATAGAATATTTAAATTCATGTAAATAGGCTTATACTAAGGGTTTTTAAAGCTTGGCAAATTATATATCTATATAATTAGATATACACTTTACAGAAACTTTGAATTTTTAAAAATATAAATATTATATATTTAATATATTATAATAAGTTCTATTAACTTTC